GGCTTCTAAGTCCGTTCTTGGACATAGAACCACTTTCCAACCCATAAATCCATACTTAGAACATGGAGAACCATCCAAAGGGTTCTTCATATAATAAATATGCCTCATGGTAGAAGAAGAATAAAGGGAAAGCTATGGCAAGGTGATTACCTCAATTTCCACACTTTCCTACACCTTTTTCCTTCTCCAAGCACTCCTCTTTGGATCCTCTATCTTGAGCTCGAATTTGGGTGTGAAAATGAAGAGTTTCAGAGCTCCTCCTTGCTATCCTAGGGTGCTGCTACGAGTGGGTGGAGGTGGTGAGGTGAGAGGGGTGGTTTTTGTCTCATTTAGACAAATGAGTGAAGGGATGGGGTCTACTAAATGTCAAAGGGTGTCTCTCCCATCCTATCAATTGTTATTCAGCCAACTTAGCACTCATCTAGCCCCCAAGGGTTGACAAATTCGTGGGGTGGCCCCCACCCATGTGGGAGGTCATCCTAATTTGTCCCAAAGTGTACAATTTGCCCCGAAAGTTGTATTTTCCGGACTGTTTTAGATATATTTTATTTTATCGGGTTAAATAAATATATTACGTGTTCTTAATCATTATAACATTTAGAATGAATATGCATTCCCCAAATTTAATTTATAAGTCTCCAAAATCCAATTTCGGGCTTTTATCTGATAAATTTATCGATACCGGTATTTGAGCCTCTATTGACCAATCGGTCAACTCTGGGCCTTTCCATGGCCCAAATGAAGTATCCACCATCCTATAAATATTTTCTAGACCCAATTGAATATAATATGTGGTCCCGATAATATCGGGCGGTCCCCACTCCCGATGTGGGCCCCACGTGCATTTTACTATTCACGCGAAAAAAATTAATACAAAATCACAACCTCGTAAATTCACTAAAAATTTCATAGGGTTCGATAAATTGTTCGCTTAAAGATAAATACATTTGGGGACGGTGTTACATCTAATATGCCTTGTATTCGACTTCCAAACCGAAACGCTCCCCGCGCCACTACCCCAAGGGTGTGGCAGGCCACGGATTACGTCTGGCGCCGAGGGGACGACTTTCAAAACTGAGGCGCTTTCCGTGCCATTTCCCAAGGGGAGGTAGGCTACGGACTATGTCTTATGCCCAAGAAACGACCCTCGATCCCCTCGGAACTCGGAAGGTTAACCCGAGGGGGGAGCTAATGGTGTATTCTATTGCCTCCCGATAGGCCCAGCCTTACCAAGAAACCAAGTTTTTTGAAGCCTTCCCTTCACTACCAAAAAAAAAAGTAACGAGGGAGTGAAGGGGAGTAGACTCAGCGAGAAATCAATGAGTACACAACTTCAACAAATCACAACAGGAAATCCTTCGGCGTTACAAGGAATCTCAACATCATATCGATGGCTTCCCCACGGGAACACCTCCGGTGCATGGGAGCTACTAATCCCCGAAGGCTACTATTCAACAGATGTCATCAACAAATGGACAAGTCACTGCCGCTGAAGGCTCTAATCCAACTAAAGGAATAGAATTGGCTAAGTCCACCCAACAACATTTCAAGCAGCAGTTGCCCCTGGCATTTTCACTAAAACACCGAGGGAATGCGCCCAAACATTTCCCGAGGGCGTCTATCTTTTCGTACTATACTTGGACTATGAAAATTCCTAAGTCCACATTGGGGGAACCTGACAAATCCCGAAGGCCCATATGTTTCCTTGGGGACGCTCCTCGCCGATGGCCAGCTATGATGACAAAGGTCTCAAATCACATAGGGAGTACTCTATGATGACAAAGTTCTGAGCTATATACTGTATATACCCTTTAATGTAATCACAATGTTGAATATTTCAGCTTTTATATGAACTTGAGTATTAGAGATCTCTTGTATGTATTACTTTTTTACTTTCTAAAAGTAATTTGGGATGGCCTCATTCTTCCAGCAATGCAAGGAAGGTCTAGATGTCCATCGTGATCAAATCAAAGCTGTACTTATGGATTCAGCGAGCTTCAACCGGATGATCTAATGAGCTTTGGACGAGCCAATAGAACATTTTCTGATGCAAGTCACAGGCATCTTCTGTAGTTTCAACATTTCAGCTTAGCACCTTAGCTTTGATCATTTATATGTTTCGTCTTTTCCCGATAGGAATGCCATTGTTATTTGTTTTGTTAGTTCGGGAAACTGAGCATGTAGAATGTTACAATTCTTACCTGGTTTCAAGCCGCTTTTGCGGAAGTTTCTATCAATATGTTACCTTGTTATGTGAAGTTAGGCACACCTTGTAGAGCATGTCTCTTCTAAAGTGTAACTTCTCATTCTCAAGTTCGTTTATGCTCACCTGGATCGCATCAAATATTCTCAACTTCTCTTCTAATAATTATTTTATAATTACAATTTGAGTAAACAATGTGCTAATTGTTATATGTGTGTACAATATTCTGCATGCAAATTAAATGAAATAATAATTAAATAATTAAATAATTAAGGAAACATGTATAATTACTTGTAACCGATCCCAACATAAGCGTTGTTTTCTTAAGACGTTTTTGCCCGACACACGTAGCAATCGTCTCCCAGGATAGAACAGTTCTTCGCTCCCAACGAGATTCTGGCAAACTCAAAGATGCAACGAAGAAAGAGAGAATATGGAGGATTGTGTGATAGTTTTCGGATTGATTGAAAATGTTGGCAGTCATGGGTATATATAGAGCTCTGGCCAGGAGACTCTACACCCAAAAGACACCTTTAGAAAGAAAGGTCGTGACCCTCCTTCTAAAACCAATGGACGTTTCTATTGCCAAACATTATCCAAAATTAAGAGCGATTAATAGAATTATCTTTAAGCCATATAATTGGGAGGACGGTTTAAGACTCTAACCCGAAACCTGACCCGACCTACTGAACGGCAATGACAGTGTTTGCGTGTGAGATATAAATTCACACTTATCTTTCGGGAAACAATTTCTCATTCATTTCAAAATGATTTTTAGAAATAATATTAATGACCATAATATTAATTTGTAAAATCATTTTTCCAACAATCCCCCCACATGAATGGGAAATTGGCTTAAAGACATGAAACATATTGGAATTTGACATGGGAAGATGGGAACTCTGCATAGGGTTAGGTAGTCGTGAAACTTTGAACCTACCTTAGTGTATATCCATCGGATTTACTGGACCATCGGAAAGTGAGATGTTCAGGCGCTTCTGTCGTTAGTTTTGACAGGATGTCTGCCTCAACATTCTGGGCTCGTGGAACACATATCAGGTCGGACTCCTCGAATTGTTTGATGAGTTCCAGGGTTGTATCCCTGTATTTCAGCATCTGAGCTTCTTTGGCGTCATATTCCCATCTAAGTTGTTTGATAATCAACTTAGAATCGCTTTTGATCTTCAGTTTTTGGACTTTGAAGTACGTTGCTATCCTGAGGCCGGAAAGTAAGGCCTCATATTCTGCTTCATTATTGGATAGGTTGGATAAGTACCTGAGGGCATAGTAGGTCTTGAAGCCTTCAGGGGTGATGAGGACCACCCCTCCTCCACAACCTTTGGACCCTGATGATGAACCATCAGTCATGAGGGTCCACCAATCTTCCTCGTCGCGTCGTCTTTCTTCAGCTACATCTCTGGCAGTGCATTCCACTAGAAAATCCACCAAAGCTTGGCTTTTAATTGGTGTTCTTGGGTGGAAACTCACTTGATACTGGCTGATTAACAAGGACCATTTCAGCACTCGTGCAGTCTTAGCCGTTCTGAACGGAGTTCCCACTCCCAGGTCTAACAAGACCTTGATAGGGTGGGCCTGGAAGTAGTGGACATGTTTCTTTGCTGCAACGTATACCGCGAGGTCGGTTTTCTACAGGGCCAGATATCTGAGCTCAGCCCCATGGAGAACCTTGCAGATGTAGTAGGCCGGCTTTTGTACGGTCCCTTCTTCTCGCACCAACACAGAGCTGACCGCACCCTAGGTGACTCCCAAATACAGAATTAGTGTCTCGTCGACCTCAGGTTTGTTGATAAGCCTATCTAACTGTAAATACTTTTTGAGGTCTTCAAACGCGGCCTGACACTCTTGGGTCCACTGAAACCCGTTGCTCTTCTTCAAGATTTGAAAAAACGGCAAGGATTTGTCGGTGGACCTAGATAGGAATCTCCCAAGGGCCGCTAGCCTCCCTGTGAGGATTTGGACTTCATTGACGTTTCTTGGGGGCTCCATATCCAAAATTGCCTTGACCTTTTCTGGGTTAGGTTCATTTCTTTTGTGGGTTACAATGAACCCCATAAATTTTCCGCCTTGAACCGCGAAAGTGCACTTCTTAGGATTGAGTCATAGATTTACCTCCTTCATTATGCCAAATACCTCCCGGAGGTCTTCTGCATGATCGCCTACTTTTTGACTCTTCACGATCATGTCATCAACGTAGGCTTCCCATATTCCTCCCTAGGACTGCTCGGAAGACCTCTGCCACCATCCTGGCGTAAGTGGCCCCAGATTTCCTCAACCCGAAAGCCATCACCAGATAACAAAAGACTCCCTCGGGTGTGATAAATGAGGTCTTTTCAGCATCATCGGGGTGCATGGAGATCTGATGATACCCCCTGAATGCGTCCATGAAAGAAAGGAGTTCTCATCCAGCGGTCTTATCCACCAGTTGATCTATGCTTGGCAGAGGGAAAGGATCCATTGGGCAGGCCTTGTTGAGATCTGTATAGTCACTACTAGAAAAATATGTATTTGCTGCGGTTATTTTTGGCTATTTGCTGCGGTTTTGAACCGCAGCAATTGGTAGGGAAGCAAATTGTTGGAAAAGTATTTGCTGCGGTTCAGAACCGCAGCAAATAGATATTTTTAAAAAATGATTTTTTGACTTATTGATACGGTTCAAAACCGCAGCAAATAGCTATTTAAAAAATAATAATTTTTGACTTATTGTTGCGGTTCTGAACCGCAGCAAATAGTATTAAGTTTTTTAAAATTCATTTGCAGCTAAAAGAATAAAAAAAGCAAAAATTGTAATATTATTTTTGTTTTTTTCTACTACCCGAATTTACAAAGATGGTGTTTCCAACCAAAACATACCCTATCTATAAAATAAGAAACATTAATATTACAACAATAGTATGTCACTTCACAAATCAAAACCATAATTCCAAAAGAAATACTACGTTAGTTATACATCACCAATATTCGGTGTGAATACAATCAAAATCCTCATCTTTTAATAAAAGTTTATAAAATCTAACAGTTACAATAAATTATCACACACTTGTATCACCAACACATCGCAAGCTTCACATACTTCTATCTCTCGATAAAGATTCATCTCTTCTAGCACTCCAATAAACCTAAAATATTAAAAAACACATAATTAGAAAAATACAAATGTATAATAAAAATTGTATAATGTTTATACATGCACACACATTTTTTTAATAATTTCATTACAACATGCATCAAATACTTTTTTTGTAACTCTTTTGCATAAAAAGTGTGTATTAGTGTTGGAAAATGATTTTACAAATTAATATTATGGTCATTATTATTATTTGTAAAAATCATTTTGAAATGAATGAGAAATTGTTTCCCGAAAGATAAGTGTGAATGTATATCTCACACGCAAACACCGTCATTGTCGTTCAGTAGGCTGGGTCGAGTTTCAGGTTAGAGTCTTAAACCATCCTCCCGAGTATATGGCTTAAAGATAATTCTATTAGTCGCTCTTAATTTTGGATAATGTTTGGCAATAGACACATCCATTGGTTTTAGAAGGAGAGTCACGACCTTTCTTTCTAAGGGTGTCTTTTGGGTGTAGAGTCTCCTGGCCAGAGCTCTATATATACCCATGACTGCCAGCATTTTCAATCAATCCGAAAATTATCACACAATCCTCCATATTCTCTCTTTCTTCGTTGCATCTTTGAGTTCGCCAGAATCCCGTTGGGAGCGAAGAACCGTTCTATCCTGGGAGACGATTGCTACGTGTGTCGGGCAAAATCATCTTAAGGAAACAACGCTTAAGTTGGGATCGGTTACAAGTAATTATACATGTTTCCTTAATTATTTAATTATTATTTCATTTAATTTGTATGCAGAATATTGTACACCCATATAACAATCTTAAGATGTTTTTGCCCGTGGACACAAAATCAACGAGTGGATATGTGTTTACCCTTGGAAGTGGTGTTGTGTCGTGGAAATCTTCCAAACAAACATGTATTGCTAGATCTACCATGGAAGCTGAATTCATTGCCTTAGATAAGGCAGGAGACGAAGTTGAATGGTTGAGAGAGTTTTTGGAAGATCTTCCTTGTTGGGAAAAGCCCGTTCCTCCAACATCAATTCATTGTGATAGTCAAGCTGCAATTGGAAGGGCAAGGAATGCAGTTTATAATGGTAAGTCTAGACACATCCGTCGTAGACATAATACCGTTAGAAAACTAATTAAAATGGGATCATCTCTCTTGACTATGTTAAGTCGAAAGAAAATATTGCGGATCCGCTAACTAAACCTCTACCAAGGGAGGTGGTCGAGACGTCAAGGAGAGCAATGGGCATACGGCCAATGATCCAATAAAAGTCCATGGAGAAACCCTACCTATTATTGAGGGTGCCTCATAATTAGGTTCAAAGGGAAAACACAATTGTGGACTGGCTCGGACGGTACTAGCCAAGATATAGTACATTCATGCCAAGAGCATTTAGGGTAAGTTACGCTTTTAATGATCTCTATATCTTGATTCGTTCAAGTAAGGTATGGCATGATACCTTCCATAGAGATCACATATGCTGGTGGAAGAAGGCCGTTTCTATAAGAGTTTATGGCACGAGATAAATTCTACGGTGTACAATAAACTCTCGAAAACACTAGCTGAACCAGGAGGTTTTCACGGCCGAAACGAACACAAACGTGAGAACCAAAGATGCACCCGGGGCTGTGTGTGTTATTCATTGTCTAGGTTTACACATTGGCTGACGGTTCAAAGCAAAGTGCTACCGATTGTCCAGTAAATCCGATGGATATACACTAAGGTCGGTTCAAAGTTTCACGACTACCTAACCCTATGCAGAGTTCCCATCTTCCCATGTCAAATTCCAATATGTTTCATGTCTTTAAGCCAATTTCCCATTCATGTGGGGGGATTCTTGGAAAAATGATTTTACAAATTAATATTATGGTCATTAATATTATTTCTAAAAATCATTTTGAAATGAATGAGAAATTGTTTCCCGAAAGATAAGTGTGAATTTATATCTCACACGCAAACACTGTCACTGCCGTTCAGTAGGTCGGGTCAGGTTTCGGGTTAGAGTCTTAAACCGTCCTCCCAATTATATGGCTTAAAGATAATTCTATTAATCGCTCTTAATTTTGGATAATGTTTGGCAATAGACACGTCCATTGGTTTTAGAAGGAGGGTCACGACCTTTCTTTCTAAAGGTGTCTTTTGGGTGTAGAGTCTCCTGGCCAGAGCTCTATATATACCCATGACTGCCAGCATTTTCAATCAATCCGAAAACTATCACACAATCCTCCATATTCTCTCTTTCTTCGTTGCATCTTTGAGTTTGCCAGAATCTCGTTGGGAGCGAAGAACTGTTCTATCCTGGGAGACGATTGCTACGTGTGTCGGGCAAAAACGTCTTAAGAAAACAACGCTTATGTTGGGATCGGTTACAAGTAATTATACATGTTTCCTTAATTATTTAATTATTTAATTATTATTTCATTTAATTTGCATGCAGAATATTGTACACACATATAACAATTAGCACATTGTTTACTCAAATTGTAATTATAAAATAATTATTAGAAGAGAAGTTGAGAATATTTGATGCGATCCAGGTGAGCATAAACGAACTTGAGAATGAGAAGTTACACTTTAGAAGAGACATGCTCTACAAGGTGTGCCTAACTTCACATAACAAGGTAACATATTGATAGAAACTTCCGCAAAAGAGGCTTGAAACCAGGTAAGAATTGTAACATTCTACATGCTCAGATTCCCGAACTAACAAAACAAATAACAATGGCATTCCTATCGGGAAAAGACGAAACATATAAATGATCAAAGCTAAGGTGCTAAGCTGAAATGTTGAAACTACAGAAGATGCCTGTGACTTGCATCAGAAAATGTTCTATTGGCTCGTCCAAAGCTTATTAGATCATCCGGTTGAAGCTCGCTGAATCCATAAGTACAGCTTTGATTTGATCACGATGGACATCTAGACCTTCCTTGCATTGCTGGAAGAATGAGGCCATCCCAAATTACTTTTAGAAAGTAAAAAAGTAATACATACAAGAGATCTCTAATACTCAAGTTCATATAAAAGCTGAAATATTCAACATTGTGATTACATTAAAGGGTATATACAGTATATAGCTCAGAACTTTGTCATCATAGAGTACTCCATATGTGATTTCAGCCCTTTGTCATCATAGCTGGCCATCGGCGAGGAGCGTTCCCAAGGTGAAAAGGAGTCTACGGTGGCAGGAGGCTGGGGTTTGGGGAGGATTTTGTTGCTTTGACCGATTATGCTCCAAACCTAAAGGTGTATTTGCTGCGGTTTACCCTTCCACCGCAGCAAATCGTGGAAAAATCTAAGTTATTTGCTGCGGTTCGAATACGACCGCAGCAAAAGGTATCAAAATTTTCAACTTTTTGCTGCGGTTGTAGACGAACCGCAGCAAATACTTATAAATTTTACCTATTTGCTGCGTTTTAACTAAGAACCGCAGCAATTAGGTAGCATCAAATAAGGAAAATTCTAGTAGTGAGACCACGGTTGGCGGCTTAGGGGCCAAGACTACATTTGCAAGCCACTCTGAATACTGCACTTCCTTAATATGCCTGATGCCCAGCAACATGTTTACTTCCTTTTTGACAAACCCTTTCCTATCCAAAGACATGTGTCTTCTTTTTTGCTTCACAGGAGTTGCCTTCGGATCGACGTTCAATCGGTGAACTGCTATGCTCGGATCGAGCCCGGGCATGTCCTCAGGTCCCCAAGCAAAAATCACCTTAAATTCTGTCACGACTTGGACTATCCTTGCCTTCAGGTTGGTCGGAAGTACTGTACCAATTTTGACGCGGCGCTCTGGACGGGATGGACCGACTCCGACCTCCTCGAGCTCTGAGACGGGTCGAGATTTGAACTGCCCCTCCTCATATTTGGATAGGTCCTGCTCGATGGCGTTGACCCTTACATAATTCCTCATGTGAGCCTTGCACGCCCTCATGTAGCAACTTCTCTCCATCTTCTGTGTCTCCCCTCAATGTGCCTATTCCGGCCGGTGTGTAGAATTTCATGCATAAATGAGCCTGGGAGATGATGGCGCCCAAGTCCTCCAGCAAAGGTCGGCCCAAGATGGCCTTGTGCATGCTTAACAGTTGAAAAAAACAAAATACGCTTCAAACAGTCATATGCATGGCTCTGATTCGAGCTCGATCTTGAGGGCGATCACCCCCTCTGGCTCAATTGTGTCCCCAGTAAAACCTGAGAGAGGTGTTTTTACCGGCTTCAGAGCTCCCTTCCGGAGTCCGATCTCCAATAAAGCATCCATGTACATTATGTTGACTGAGCTGCCATTGTCCACGAGGACCCTATGAACGATTGCATCCATAACTTCCATCTTGATTACCAGAGCATCCCTGTGAGGTGGTGGACACTGCGGGAGGTCGTCATCTATGAAAACGACCGATTCCCGCTTCTTCTTTTTAGCATCAGGGAGGCGGTTGATCTCTCCAATGAATAATTGGTGACTCCACTTTTTCCTTTCTCCTGCGGTGTCTCCTCCGACAGGTCCGCCGTAGATCTGGTTCACATGTGGGCGTTTCTATCGGCCTGAATCTCCCCCTTCTTCTTCGTCCTCGAACTGGGCTCCGACCTCCCTCTTCTTAGAGGTAGAGGCCGGCTCGTCTCTCCCTTTGTTCCAAGTATTCTTCTTTTGAGGGGGTTGTCCCTGCCGACTCTTATTTACAAACTGATCCACCTGCCCTTCTCGGATGAGCCTTTCCACATACTTTTTCAAGACATAACAGTCATCAGTTTCATGAGTATCGCTCTTATGGAGTTTTCAATACTTACCCCGAGTGGCCTGGTTGTTAACAACGTTACAACCTTCAAGAATTGTTATCAAACCCTGCTTGGCCGCATAATCCAAGACAATGCTGACTGAATGTGTCAAAGGCAAAAATTCAGACTGGCTGGACAGGAGCCCTTGAGGACACCTGACTTGCTCTTTCCCCAGCCCTTCTTCTTCCTCTTGGACCCATTCCCTTTGTCCGGGTCACGGGCTTCTCTCTTCGAGGTCTTTTTCTTCCACCTCAGCTTGCACATTGGCACGTAGTAAGGCTTCCTCATGTGAGGTCGGGGGGTTGTGCACAAAATCCTTGTACAGTTCACCCGACCTCAGGGCATTAATGAGGATGGTGGCGGAAGATTTGTTATCCATGTTGTCTACCTTCACCGATTCGTCCCTCCATCGAGCTAGGAAGTCGACTAAGCTTTTCCGGGCTCCCTGTTTGATCCCCAACAGGTGAGAGAAATTCTTCTTGGAGTCCTTGGAGCTGGAGAACTGGGCTACGAATGCATGGGCCAATTCCCTGAAGTTCCGGATCCTCCCATCAGGTAAGGAATCATACCATTCCCGGGCTGGTCCATCCAAGGTTACTGAGAACTCCCTGCACTTGATTGCATCATCGTACCCCATCATCACCATGTATGCCACGTACCTGGAGACATGGTGTTGAGGATCGGTCTTTCCTCGATAGGCCTCAATAATGCATGGATTGTATCCCTGTGGCAACGGAGCGTTCATGATATGGCGAGTGAATGACTCGGGAATCCTCACATCATGATTGAGGTTGATCCTGCCATCCACTTCCCTCCTGAGCTTGTCCGGTCTCCTTCTGAGGTCATCGTTTCCATGGCCTACTCAAGCGCGAGGTGGGGATCGGCAATCTCCATGGGCCTACCGGTTGGCGTTGATCTCGTCTATGAGATCTCCCCCACGCGCATTGCGGCTTTGGGATGAAACGTCCGCTCATGATGCCTCCTCACTTCGTTCAGCCCTGGAGGAGATTCTATCATGCACAAAAATGCTTCGCCCACCAATTTGACCCATCACTGAGGTTCTCGGGGTCTGCCTAGAGTGATGGGACCGTTGGAACCGGGCTGGTGGACAGTTCCTCCACTGTTGTTCAGGTCTCTCTTCCCCTCTCTGAGGTGTGGATGGAGCCCGATGAGGGGAACGAAGTCTCGCGTTGTTGTCAGGGATGATACCTTTGAAAGCGGTGGTCACAGTCTCCACAGCCCGCTGGAATGTTGCCAAACTAGCCAAGGCTTATGTTGGGTCGACGTTGGGGATAAGATTCCCAGTGCCCGGCGTCTGGAACTACAGTGGTCGCACTGCCGTGCGCCTGGAACTCCCAACGCCATGGAGTTGGTTTCTCAAATCGCTCCGTCGTGATCTAGAACCTTCATCCTCGATCACGACTTGATTGAAACGATCGCCGCCTTGATTGCTACCCATGCGGTTATGACTCTGCGATCCAACCATTGTTATCGCAGATCGTTCTTTCAATGAGAGAACCAAATGATGGAGTTTAATCCAACTACGAAAGCTATATCTACGAGAGCAGATGAAAATATGGCAGCGTAAGGCAGTATTCTATCATCCGGGAGTTCGTTCCCTTGATAGGAAATTTACAGGAAGTATTTATAGACTACAGGAACTAGTATTCTAGGAGGAAACTGATACAATAAATGCTATTAATTACACATTAGTTCGAATAAGACTCTTGTAACGTTTTGGCCGTTGTGTATTGATCGTTCCTTTAAGTCCATGTTCATGCCGTTTATTCCCGCCTGCCGCCAAATAGCTATGCACGAATGATAGCCTGCCACGTAAGTCCTAGGAATATCCCGACCTCATTAGAACTCCGCCCAGGCTCGAGGTCTGCTGTCTAGCCTGGCCTGGTTGTGGGTTCCTGTTGTGGGTCTGATTCCCAATTAGGCCCAGCGGCTAGTCATACTAATCCCGTTTACGAGCTGATCCCATTAAGGGCTTGATCTCGTTGAGGGCTTAATCCCGTTATGGGTTGGATCCCATTATGGGCTTGATCTTCAATTCTGTAATTGGACCATGGTTAGAGTCCATGGTACCATCAATAGTAAAAATTTAAAATAAATATATAAAAACAATGTCTTAAATTAGTTAATAAAATATAAAACCACACATCTATAAATTAAACAGAACACAACCACCTAAATTAAAATTTAAGTCATCATTCATAAATTAAAAAAATAGCACTATAAAGTCAAAAGAAATTAAACTAGTTACTAACATATTTGTCTATGAAGGCAAATTAATGCTTATTAAATCTCAAAGTATAAGAAATATTAAGATAATTAAATGAATACGCACACTTCATTGAGTAAGAGTCTTTGATTGCAAAAAATATTAAAGAAAGACAATTTTATGCATTTGGAATAAAGAGATAGAGAAAATATTTAGGATTTTATATCAACTTGGAAACTCTTTTTAATTGATTGACAAGTTTCTTTAATTAATTGAGTATATTTGTCTAGACATAAGAACATACAGAGCTTTCAGATGTTATCAGTATAGGGTTTAATGCACCAAATCCCCCTGTGATATGGAAATTCGGCGAATTAGCCCCCTGTGATTTAAAAAATGCGTCAAACTCTCCTGTGTTTTAATTAATTATGCGTAAAATCCCTTCTATGAACAAATTCAATTGTCAAATAAAAGAAAAATAATTAACATTTTTTTATAATTTAGAGATTTTGACATATGTTCTTGCATATTCAATCATAATATTAGGAAAAGTGATTTCCAAATCATTAAATTTATTCATAAAAGGGGTTATGTGCATGCTTAATTAAAACACAAGAGGATTTGACGCATTTTTCAAATCACAGGAGCTAATGCGCTGAATTTCTATATCACGAGGGGGTTTGGTGCATTAAACCCTATCAGTATATTATACTCCGTATTAAACATAATAGAGTTTATTAAAATACTCCCTCCGTCCCGCTAGAAGATTCCCGTTGACGGTTTACGATGCTTGACTGACGATAAAGCAACTTAATCCTTGTTCACACTCTGATTATTTTTAGTAAATAAAATCAACATATTCAGAAACTACATTAAAACCGCTACAAAGCCTGACAAAAAAATGTAAATTTGATAAAAATTTGATTTATAAAGTAATAGATTAAAAATGATTTAAGTTGACCATGTGAATAGTGGACAGGAACCTTCTAGCGGGACGGAGGGAGTAATATTTTAAAATTCCCACTACTTTATGTTCTTTCACTTATTTTATTTTGATCAGACTGTCGTTGTTGTTTTTTGCTATGTTTTTTTCAGACAAACTCTTGCATTAGGTTGGGGTGATGAGGGTTTCATCTAACCACGGTAGGCTCATTTAGATCCATTATAGGATCAGTGAGCCATATTACTTTTTCCAGGGTGATTGACTCTAAGTCTGGTTTGAGGGTCGGTGGTTGGATGTGGTCCTTTTATCGTCTTGTTCCCTTGTTGAATGCTTTGATATCAATTTAAGCCACCTTGGTCCAAAAAAAAATACTCCCTCCGTTCCTTAAAAAACTTCCAACTTTTCTTTTTCGTCCGTTTCAATTAAAACTTCCACTTTCTATATTAGGAAATGTTTTTTACCTAAAATTACCTCACTACCCTCGTAATTAATACTTCACCCCACCCACCTTTCCACTTATTACTCCGTATCACCCACCCACATTTACTCTGTCCCTACCCACTTCTGGCACCTTCCACTCTCCACACTCTCCGTCCATTCATTACTCCTTCCATATTCTCGCACCTTCCACTCTCCACACTCTCTGTCGTTTCATTACTCCTTCCATCCTCATCTGGAAAAGTCTCCTCCATCTCCTCCATCTGCAGTCATCCCACCCATTCAATCTTCAAAGCCTCCCATTAATGGCCGTAAATTCCTCAATTATGAACATGCATGGTGATTTTAATGGTGTGGTGGTTGAGGACCCAGAGGATTCATCCGGATGGGACGATTTCGTCCTAGATGATGAGATCTTGGCCGTAAATTCCTCAGTTTTGACTATTCATGGTGATTTTAATGGTGTGGTGGTTGAGGACTCAGAGGATGAATCCAGATGGGTCGATTTCGTCCCAGATGCTGAGATCTTGGTCGACTGCGTCCCTGAGGCTGAGATCTTGCCCGACTTCATCCCTGAGGCTGAGATCTTGGCCGACTGCGTCCATGAGGCTGAGATCTTGCCCGGCTTCGTCCCTGAGGCTGAGATCTTGGACCGAAGAGGTCAAACCTCCATTGACGATATCATATCCATCTACCTTCGGCCAGTGGATACAACGAATGTGGGGTATCTTCTACCTGCAAGTGCACATGCTGACCCAGACCCTAAAGTTCAAGAAAGATTGGATAAACTTGTTTCAATGTGGCTGTCTACGCCCAAAAAATCAAGGTCATAAGTTCCACTTTTAGCTTTCATGATTACGTTTCCTAATTTGGTTAGAATGTTGCTTATATGTTGCCTAACTCGGTGATAAAGAATCTAGTTTCCTTTATGTTGCCTATATGTTGCATATGTAAGAAATGGTGCCTGTGATTTTTTGCCCTAACTGATTTCCTATGATGTTTATGCCCTAACTGATTCAGTTTCAATCTATGTTGCCTATATGCCTCTCTGTCTATATGAATATGTAATTACTGATTGTCTATGATGGTTATGCCCTACCTGATTCATACTCAATCTATGTTGCCTATATGCCACTCTGCCTAATTCATGTTGACCAGACTACCTCTCTGTCTATATGATGTTATGCCCTAACTGATTGGCTAATAGGGATGTGGTTTAGCAGTTGACTGATTAGGTGGGGTAATCTATGTTGCCTAAATGCCTGAATGAGTGCTTGGGTATTGCTTGAATATGTAATTACTGATTGCCTGTGATGGTTATGCCCTAACTGATTCATACTCAATCTATGTTGCCTATATGCCTCTCAGCCTAATTCATGTTGACCAAACTACCTCTCTGCCTATATGATGTTATGCCCTAACTGATTGGCTAATAGGGATGTGGTTTAGTAGTTGACTGATTGGGTGGGGTACTCTATGTTGCCTATATGCCTGAATGATTTAATGTGATGAAATTGTGCCAAGTACTGAGTCAAAATAAGATAATATGCCTTCATATATAGCTGATGACAGTGTTTTGATGTGTACATTGTTTGTAGCCCAATCCAGGATCCTGTGACTACCCAAAAACCAAAAATATCAAGAACATGTCTGTACCAAAAACCAAAAATATCAAGAACCTGTCTGTACCCAAAAACCAAAAATATCAAGAACCTAGATCATGTCTGTACCCAAAAACCAGTACCATTACCTACTATACCTAAGCCTGAGTGCTACCATTAGCCAACAACTCCATAACTTCCCTCACTAGTGTTGGGTCTGCACCAATTGAGATAGGTAGTTCCCCCTGAGCATGTAGGTTGTCATGTCCTATGTGAGGTATTTTGTAGTTGTTGTTACCTTTAACAATTAATATCTCTGTCATACACAACTGTAGTGATAACCACACCTTGTTTAAAGTATAGGGACTGAACTCATCATATGCCTTGGTCACTGCTACTACTAACTCTGAAACTGTAGAACTTCGATTGGCCTGTTGTAAGCACTCAACTGACCTAAAAAAACCTAGGTCCAGAATATTTAGATCAGGACTATTGGGTGGTTGGCATGCTAGTTTTATGTTAAAACCTTCAGTAGTAGCCGCTGCCATGAATTCACTGTCATTAGGCTGTATGTGTGGTTTGGTATTGTCTTGTTGGATAAAAATATGACCAGATGCATCAATTGGCCACTTGGCTTTGATGGCAGGGAGCACCTTTCTGAGTAAACATTCTCTATAGACTTCTTTAGTCACATTGTCTATTGCCTTTTCCTCTATTGTACCTTGTGCTCTATTTTTGATATTCCTTTTAGCTGAACAGAATTCAGTGAATGGGAAAATACCTATTTTTCCATCAAATAACACTTCAGATGGAGAAAATCTAGGCCCAGCAACAACACAGAGAAACATCACTTTTGTGATGTATCTCTTGGACTTACAACTTCTGTAAGGCTCCTCTTCACCCGGGGCAAGATAGTACCTCGGTGAGACTTGGGTCATGTAAAACCACTTCTCATCCACATGCACACAATTGAACATGGGTTCAAACCGTGGATGAGAAGTCATTGACTGACTGTGGAACAATTTGTGAAATTACCCATTCCATCCTCTTTGTCATATTTGAGTCTGTCATAAATGGTTTTATAGCATTTGTGTGTACTTTTATCAAACCTTTTTTGATGAGTCTGTGCACATTTGTTGAGGGTATGCCCATCGCCTTTGCCAGACTTCTTATGCTCTTCCTTCGATGTAGTTCTATATTTGTAATGTCAACATGAGCTGTTATTATTGCTTTCTTACCTACCTTTCCAGTCATTTTTCTGTCAACATTTATTGGTAAACCCTCCCGTTGACATTTCCTTATATGCTGCCAAATATGTGTGATACACCTTTGTGACACTTCATGTTGTGCAGCTAGTGCAGGTTTCACCCCTTTTTTCAGCTTACCATCTGTGGAGTTCGCCAGAAGTTCCTGCATGATATGTTGATTAGCTTCATTGGAAAGCCTTTTTTTGAACAATTTCAGAACTTTCCATGTTCTTGTAATTTTTGTTGTAAGTTGTGAGGGTGAATTTTAGGGCTATGGCTTGCTATTTATAGAACACTTAGATCTTTTGTTTGGACTTGGGTATATTTTGGAGGGAGTCTGAAAAGTCCCCGCCCAAAGTAACCTTTTGACAATGTATACGCAACCTTTATTTGGAATGGAGTAATACGGAGTAGTGGGTTGCTTTTTACTATACACAACACTAACTTTTTGAAAAGGGTAAAACAAGAAAGTCAAACCCAATAATTACATTTTCTTAAAATGTGTGCCCATGGGAAACGGGAGATAAAATGGGAACGGAGGAAGTATTTTAAAACGGTTCAGTGTGGATACCATTGTTTTCAAATATTAAGGACTCGCCCTGCCCTTTCCGGAACCCTTTGGATTTTTTAAAATTAGATCCTACCTAGCCTGCCCCGAAGCTGTATTACTTGCCCCTGCTAGTGGATCATGTCCCTGGCCGTTTGCCACTCTTAGCGGCTAGGGTTGCGTTGGGATGAGTTACAGGAAGAAGTGAGGCGGGCGGTGGCGGCATGATGATGCGATACGGCGGTTGCAGGGCTGAGGAGAGGGTGTGGTTTTGTGCAGCAATTGTTTAGGCCTGGGGATGGGGACGGGGTTGGTGGATTGGGGAGCAGCTGATGTGGTCACTGTTAGGGCGGTGGTTGTCAAAGGTGGCAGTCGCCAGGTGTGTGCGGGTTGTGTGCAGTTGGGGTACGTGGTGGCTGATCGATCGCAGTGTTGGCGGCGACAGTAACATCTTTACTCAATCGTACTGAAAAACCTCTCCTACACTCCTCTTCTTTACTTGTTCTGGGTAGCATCTTCTGTTTATCAACACTTAAACCAGAAATCTATTTTTGATTTAATGTTTTGACTTAATTTGTTGTAATTATTAATAGCATTGTATGCTTTTTTAAACACTATCACTATGGAGTATTTGTTGGTGATTTAGGAGTTATGAATGTCAAGATGTTTGGAAGTTTCACTAACATAGATCATATTTTTAGTTAGTTTAGTCGCCTTCCGCCATTTCTGATTTCACTGCTCATTATTTCTAAGATACCGAAAATACCACATTTTTGTAGATAGACTGCAAAGAGTTGAAAGGCTTCGTATCGATTGGGAGAAATTTGGGGTATTCATGGCCACCGATCACTCAGACGATTTAGACCAGCTACTTGACAGCGCTTTGGATGATTTAATTTCCAGAGTCTCAATATCGTTGGTGCTTCTCAAAGAAGTAAAGTGGGAGAAGAGAAGGGGAGTTGTATGCCTAGCGAGGTTCACGGTCTAGGGACGGGATTGCCAGATTTAAGAGCTAAGAAAACTGGTAAGCAAAAGAAGGAATCCAAAGCTGTGAAGGACTCGCACTCCTCTGAGGCTCCTGATAAGCTCAAAGAGCAAACCAGTGGCGCTGTGAAGGGCTTAGAATCGATAAATGGCTTAGAGCTTCCTGCTGATCAGGATTTGGGAGTGATGCAATGATGGATGAATGGGTCAAGCAGTTTGAGGAGCTTGCTGGGTCTCAGGAAATGGAGTCTATGGTAGAGACCATGATGCAATAACTCTTATATAAAGAAATTCATCACGAGCCTATGAAAGAAATGGAAGAAAGATACCCTAAATGGTTAGATGAAAATAAAGCTAAACTGGTGAACAAAGAATACAACCATTATGAGAAGCAGTATGAACTCATAAAAGAGCTTAATGTAGTTTATGAAACTGAGCCAGCAAACTTCAACAAGATTGTTGAGCTTATCCAGAAAATGCAAGAGTGTGGCCAACTACCTAATGACATTGTCAATGAGCTTGCTCCAGATTTTGATTTGTCAAGTCTTGGTCAATTAACCCCTGAAATGCTTGGGTCTCAACCAAATTGTTGTATTACATGATCAAACAGGCAAAGCCTGCCTTCACTGCCCGTTTTGCTTCGGCTTTCATCACTTCATCTGTTATCCTCAGTGACTATGAAATAGGACTTTTTTTTGCTCTCTTAGTATATTTGATTGTATTGTTGAGTGAAGTTATGTGAATTTTGTAGGTTTTCATGATGTGGTTCAATATCAAACAAAGCAAAGTTCTGCACAGAATTCTCTACAGGTGCGCTTTTAATATCTTCTATTCCCCTATCTTAAAAGAAAAGTCATGTAAAAAACTTCAGATTGTACTTTTCTTTGCTGAGGACTAGGAGTAGGAGGGTATTACAGCTAATATGAAATAATTTTCTTCTTTAGAATACGTTTCTTCAGGTGCGCTTCTACTATCTCTTTTCTTGTTTAGTTTCTATTGTTGTTGCTCTGAGTTATTGCCTGGCTGATTGCACCTTATTTATGAAATATGTGGTATTTTAGATTGTTGAACGATGTAAATGGATTGTGCAGTTCAAATGCAGCCACACCTTTATGGAAGGAGAAAGAAGCTTTGGACAACGATAATTAGCCTAAAAGTTTTTGTAAAATTTTCCAAAAACTTCCCTCATAGCATTTAGCCTAAAAGTATTAACTCTTAGGAGAAACATTTATTTTTTCTAAAGGAAAAATGTAAAACTATATTAATTTAATCATTGGTTTGCAGTTACAACCAACCAATAACTCAAAATCCAACTATTTTCTAACCGACTCCATCTAAATTCAATAAAAGCCCTATAATCAGATTCCGAGACGACCATTTTCAAAGAAGCGGTGCAATCGCTGACCACCAAACGTGCACCATAGAGTTCAACCTGACCCTTAAGATCACCGTCTCTTTACCACATCAACAAACTCAAAATAGCCGAAAAGTCCCCTTAGATCCTGATCAGAAATAGAAAATTTCATCCAGAATATAATAGAGTGAAACTTTTCGCTGAACATATGAGAGTTTCGCAACAAATAAGGACCATGAGCATCTCAGGAAAACCACAATTTTGAAGTGACATCTTCCAGACTCTAGCCACATGATCCCTTCATGGCGGCGGTTCAGGAGGCGGACTGATCATCAATTCTGCATATCTTCCTCACCCTGATTCTTGTTCATCACATTCTCTACCATGCATTCACTTTCGACACCCATAGCACACCACCAAACGTCAATCGGCATCGCAAGATAGCTTTCCTTCAATTCTGAATCTCCACTCTTGTTGATAAAACAATAAGCGATGCCCTCATCAAATGAATCTCAAATCGACTAAATTACTTTCTTGAAATTCAGATCAAATCAAACGATTCACTCAAATTAACATGTACAACTGCACGCTTGGAGAAAAACGGAGGAAAAATAAAAAACCTACATGAGAGGGAAACGACCCTGCTTTGAGAGAAATCAAATTCAATTCCTATTGTTGAGAATTTCACTTAGAGAATATGATTGAGAAGAGCTACTGATGTTTGATGCAAAACCAGATTTTATGTAAGGGGGACACGACGGAAGCATCTTCTCTCACGTCAAAACCCTCGAGCTTACCCGCAGTGGGTAGCTCAGTTGGTCGAGTGGTGGGAGATTTGGGTCAATGGACCAAGGTTCAAATCCCCGCAGCGATCGGGTGGAGGTCACAGAACCTGAAATAAGGTTGGACCTCTGGTGCGCACTAGTGTATGGGCCTATTGCCACTCTGCTGACTAAGTCACCGTGTAACGTTTTGGCTGTTATGTATTGATCGTTCCTTTAAGTCCACATTCCTGCCGTTTATTCTTGTCTGCTGCCAAATAGCTATGCACGAATGATAGCCTGCCACGTAAGTCCTAGGAATATCCCGACCTCACTAGAACTCCGCCCAGGCTCGAGGTCTGCTGTCCAGCCTGGCCCTAACCGGACTGTTCAATTCACCTCCTCAACCGTTAAATAGTATCAAAATTACGGGAAAAAATACAAATATAAAATAAAGCACAAGTTAAAAGTATAAAATATAAACATGAAATATTTATATTTTGCGGTAAATTCATAATAAAAAATAAAATATACACTTATAGAAATTCTTTAACTCTATTCTATATTTTATATCTATATTTTATATAACAGAATAAACAATATATTTCCACTAACTATATTTAAAATTGTATTTTATGTAATATATCTAAAATTTTGTTTTTTTGGTTTTTTCTTTGATGATTTATATTATGTTTATATTTTCCATTTTATTTTTTCTTTCAGTATTTTTAATTTATTTAGAAAATAAACTAAAATATATTATTTTGGTATAACTAGATATCAAAAGTATTTTATTCAGATGTAAATATGTTTTTTCAAAGTATACTAATTAGACTAGCTGTTTTATATTTATATAAGTGAAAAAAAGACATATAGAAGATTAAACTCTATACTTTGTACTAATTATATAGACCATAACAAATTTATACAGTACTATATAAGAAGAAAAATATAAAAATAGTAATTACATACTTTTATTCTTTATCTAATACATACATACGTACGTACATACGTACATACGTGCATATCATAGTACTTTTTTACATATTAAATATACTACACATTAATTATGTGAACATTATATTGTATAAAGTAGGATAAAGAGTCAAATAGGTCAATATACTCGTCCGTAATGTTCAATTAACCCCTGAACTAAAAAAAGCTCCAATTGGCACCCTGAACTGGATAAAAAGTTTCCAATTTGACAATTTGCTTGTAACCCATCCGGTCAGCGCCATGTCATCAGATCATGTGCCAACTGTGCATCTGATGTTGCAACTCAAGTGGTCAAATTAGCCCCTGAAGCCAACCGAATTGTTCAATTCACCCTCCTCAGCCGTAACAAAGTGTCAAAATTACGAAAAATAAAAAATAAAAATACAAATATAAATAAAATATAGTTCGAAACTATTAAAGATAAAAATGAAATATTTTTATTTTGCATTTAATTCAAAATAAAAATAAAAATAAACAAAAATAATTTCTTTTCCTTTATTTCCAAATACAGAGTATTTTGTTTATATTTGGGAGGCTTATACTGATCAAGGTGGGAGGCTCATACTAATCAAGGTGGGAGGCTCATACTGATCAAGCACGTGCCAAGTAATAGTGTAATTATAAAGACTCCTATGTAATTACTCTTAATATTGTTTATTATAAATACAAGGTTAGGGCTACATATTGGATAAGCCATTCTATCACAATTATTCTTTCTCACCAAGTTCTATCCCATTACATGTACTTGCGGTTACAGGTATACCAGCATCAACAATGCACATCATTAATAAGAAAATTTTAAATTTCTTTTGGGGTTTTAAGGAGAATAGGCCTAAACATCACTGGATTTCACTAAAGATGAGTAGGCCCACTGATGATGGGGTGTGGGCATCAAGTCCCTATTGCAGTCTCAAAAAATCTCATCCATTAAACTGTGGTACGGTGGGAGTTTCAAAATGGGGTTTCTAGGACGGGAGGAGGACTTTGGGGGGAGGTTAAGCCTCTTGACTCGCCAACTTGGGGGAGAATCTGCCCGGTCAACAAAGAGGCAGAGCAGATGGTTGATCGAGGTCCAACCTCTATCAAATGGAAGCATACAAAGGAGGGGAAGTTCACTACCAAGTCAGCTTACAAGGCCATCATGCGAGGGGGGCTAATTTATACATACATTTGGCATCACAAACAGGTGCCAAAAATTAAAATCTTCTTATGGAGATTGTGGCACAAGGGACTACCCTTCCCGGAGTAGTTGGTGAGATTTAGTGCAATTTATCCTTTCAGCTATCCACTTTGTAACTCAGCCTCTGCATCCCAGGAGCATGTCCTCCTTATGTGTCCTATAGCGCGTACAGTCCGGAATTTCTATGACAATTCACTGCAACTTCAAGGAAGACCAGTTAGCCATGTTAAATCGCAGATCAGGAAATGGTGGTTTCAGGAAGAGGTAAGACTTTGGATGCTACCTATACGATCGTGGTGTTGGGGTAATTGTATGGCACATCTGGAAAGCATACTGGGAGTTGGAAGGAGATTGGAAGGAGATTGCTCCGGATAAACTTTTGATTATTAAACAAATAACCAATTTCATGGTTAGTTGGTGTTATGCAAATGAAAAAATAAAAGGGAACTCGAGATCGAAGGAAGCTGGATTATTACCTGACAGCTTTAGCCGGGAAAAGCTGAGTTGGGTGATTTTCAGGCAGGACATCAAATCAGCGGTGGGCTTCCTCTTGAAAGATCACTCGGGCGCGGCGGTAATGGTGGATGGCTTTCCGCTAAGTGGCCCTTCGGCGAGCTGGGAGGAGATAGAGGAGGTGTTCCGACAGGCTCTAGAATGGGGAGCGTCCTTTCAGTTGGCGCACGTGGATTCCGGCCCGGACCCGAGTCCACCCCTAACGTGGAAGCTGAGTTTTTTTATACGAAGTAGTTGGGGCGGTGCTCCATCGATGTGGCCTAGCATGCGTGTTTGTGTGATTTTGCGTGTTTGTGTGATTTTGGTTGCTAAATTAGGATGGGAGGGTCCGTTTAGATGGCGGGCTGAGGATCCTTTGCCAAATCTTCTACGTGGAGCCTTATATTTGGACTATAATGTTTCCTTGTATTTTATCTTAATCTCATTGATGTTATGCTTCTTTTTTCGTGAGAGGTTTTGGACTTTTGGTGTGATCCCCCTCTTTACTTGTTTGTTGATTTTTCGTTATTATTTATAATACTTGACAAATGTTCCCCAACATTTGTCCCACTGATTTTGGTGATTTGCTGACCGGGTATAAAAAAATTATGATCTATATAATTAGTACAAAGTATAGAAATCAATCTTATATGTAATTTTTTACTTATATAAATATAAAGTAGCTAGTCTAATTAGTATACTTCAAAAAACATAATTACATCTAAATAAAATACTTTTAATATCTAAATATACCAAAATAATATATTTTAATTTATTTTCTAAATAAATTAAAACTACAAAATGAAAAAATAAAAATGGATAATATAAACATAATATAAATCATCAAAGCAAAAACCGAAAAAATAAAATCTTAGATATATTACATAAAAATACAATTTTAAATAAAGTTAGTGGAAATATAATAATATATTGTTTATTCTCATATACTTTCTCTGTTCGGTTTTAAGTGCAACATGCACTTGAGCACAGAAATTAAGAGCATCTCCATTGCATGTCTTTCTAGTCTCAATAAAATGTGCCAAATGTCAAATAAATAAATGGGTTTCTAATACACATAATACAAAGTGAGGTGATTAGATATTTAAGTACTAAGGAGGTTTCCAATGCATCACTTCTTAAGGTCTAACCGTCCAATCGTAGTAATATACTTTTGGTTAATATATTGCCGCTGCCATTTACAGTTAGGGGTGGACTCGGGTCCGGGCCGGGGCCGGGTCGGGCCTAGGCCCGGGCGGGGGGGCAGTTCAAGAATGGTGGACCCGGGACCGGTCCGGGTAGCCACCGGGTCCGGGCCGGGTAGCCACCGGGTCCGGGTCCGGGCCGGGCCGGGCCTCCGGTTTGGATTTTTTTTTTTTTTTTTTTTGCTTTCCTAACCCCCCCCCCCCACCCTCCCAAACCCCCCAAACCCATCCTACCCATCAAGCCCAACCCGGATGGAACCCCAAAAATGAAAAAAAAATCAATTTGGCCCGGGCCCGACCCGGCCGGTTCACCAAAATTGAGACCCGAGCCCGGACCCGCCCTACCCCCCGGGCCTAGGCCCGACCCGGACCCGAGAACCGGGCCGGTCCTGGTCCCACACAGTAGCGGGCCGGGCCGGTCCACGGGCCGGGTGGCCCGACCCGAGTCCAACCATATTTACAGTAAAAAAGAATTTACTGCTGCCATTCAAGAAAAAAGAAGCCGACAAGCACCTACCAGTAGAATTCATTTTTGCTTCCTTACATATATAGATAGCAAGGGTTTTATTTATAAATCAGCATCAAATGATGTCATAAATGATATCCGCGCCACATGATAAAAGTTAATAGAGGCAGTTAAAGTTGTTATAGAGGAGTATATAACAAGGATTAACTTGAACACATTTCCGGTAAATGAGCTAAAATGAGTAGAGTTCTATAATAGAAGGACCTCCTAGGTACTTTGATTAACTACCAATCCAACATTGATGGTATTATTTAAAGTATACCCCCATTGTTAACCCTCTGGTAGCATGGCAAACATTTAAGAAAAAGCAACCAAACTGCCATTCACAATTCATGCGAGTAAGAATCTGATATAGATTTAATCCACAATTTTCTAGTCCTACAAGATGAAAGAGATTAATGTGAAAACAAATTAAATGGAGACTTATAGGTTGGTTTAATTTAACCTACAGCTAATTGATTCATCAAGCCACCAAAGGTGCAAATTCAGCCCTTTTACCTTCCAAAAGCTTTAACTCAGCATGCCATCCTTCCAATTTTGCCATCTTCTCCAACTGCTCTGGCTTCATATCCTTTTTATCAGTTTTCTGCTGTTGGGCTTCTGTCAGCCGAATCTAAGAATACATATAGCAGAAAAGTAGCTTTCTTATATTGCAAGTTAAACCTCTTGGAGTAAAACGAAGGTTACCCTATGGGCATGTTAGCCGACCCCAATTTTTTTGGGACTAAGGCTTGGATGTTGTATTCGATAAATTTAAAAATTTAAAAGTAGACAATAAAGATGAAAAGGAAAAAAATAAAACATCTGATAAACTTAAAATCTAAGAGAAGAGAGAGGAGCTGAAGAATGGAGGGGAAGATAGCAGAAGGTAGCGCAGGAATAGAGAAGAGTGTGATGGAGTCTGGGAACCGTACACCATTAACACATATAACATGTATGAAACTCTGGAAGTAGGGTTATGAAATGCCAATAGCCAGTCTGATATATGAGAAGTAATCACTCATCTGAGAGGCACCGAGGCAGCTGCCACCAAGAAGCATAGAAAGCGGCAGTTGAAGGTCATCCTGGCTGGATCTACTGGAAATCTCAACCGTACGATGGCCGCCAATAACTCCCTCGATGCAATTGCGTATTCTCGATACCGGGTCAGGTTGGACAGATCAGCACGGCCTTGCCGGTGATAAGTTGAAGGACGGCTGTGCGTGGCTGAGCGCTGCCATAGCTGCCGAATTATGACCTCCACAGTGAGAATACAAACTTGTGGGGGCCTTCAGTGACAGAACGCGGAAGCTATTGGGAGCAGACAGAAACACCTGGCGAACACAACTCATCTTGAAGGCGATGAGCAGACAAATAGGGGAAGAAGAAAGTAAGGGGGTAAGAAACAAAAAAAGAAAGAAAGAATGGAAGAAAGAAATTGCAAGGGTAGAGGATCAGAGAAGAAAGCAAACGAGAGGAAGAAGGAAGAAAGAAAGGAGAAAAAGAAAGGGAAAAAAAAGAAAAAGAAAATATGTGCCACGTGTCGCCAATGCTATAATAGCTATATATAGGTCATCAATGCTATTCAATAAACAGTGTGGGAAAATTAATTCTTGTATGTCTTGACAAGGTTAGACACCAATTAATTCTAAATTAGACATTTTATTATTCTCCTCTCATATTCTCTATTCCCTAGATCTGAAACGAGATCTCAACCACGCCCGTAACAATTATCTTTGTCTAACCTTTCCTATTTAGTATGTTCCAATAAGTTTTGTTGAAGTATTTCCCATACCGGTAAAATATGAACTTATAAGGTACTCTGTACAATGTAAAGATATTAGGCTATATTAGGTTAACCTAGGATGTTACCATGAGTCTTAACATGATATTAAAGTCAAACTTATTCATAATTATAATGTGGGTCCTTTATGAAAAATTACAATGATTATGAAAAAATGACAGCGATCATGAAGATTCGACGAAAGAAAATAAATGATTGCACGATTCAGACGAAGTGTTTGGTTATGAGGGGGTGCTAAAGAATTTCTCACAAAGTTAAATATGAACTAATAAACTACAATATAAAGATATCGTACTACTCCTATTACAACAACATCCAAGCCTTAATCCCAAAAGAATTTGGGGTCGGCTAACATGAATCGATCAAATGATATCGTACTAGTTACTACTCCTATTAGGTTAGTTTTTTAAGATGGCACTCTAAGTCTTAACAAGTTTGACCCATACGGCCATACAATATATGGTAATACATGTGTGGTTCTAATTCATTCTTATTTCATTTCTATTTTACATATTAAGGTGAAGAAGATTACCTTCTTTTTTAGTGCTCTGATCTTTTTATCGATGTCTTGAAGATGATCCCCCGTCAATGATTCATTTGAATTTGATGGCGGATCCACCAGATTTGAAGAGACAGCAAGCTCATTCATATGTGCTGCAACAAATTCTACTTGATCTGACAAATGGTTGTGATTTACAGAGGCAGATGAAACACCATCATTATCTTCAATATCATCTTCCTTCTCAAGAGCAGCCTGCCGCATGTCACATTATGACGTTAAAGCATTTATTACATTGTCTGCATTAAGGGTGAAGTGGTGAACATGGTTTCTGTCCAGCCTCAGTTTTGGTCAAGGAATTGGAACCTTAAACAGAACTTAGCTACTGAAAAAGAATACAAGAACATTTAGGAAATGCACAACTTAGAGGCGTTAAACGACACATAGCAAGAACATTTCTATTTGAACATCAATTCACAACCCGTGGAGAGCTACTAAAAAGGAATACAGTGGAGAGGTTAAGTTTGCACAAAATATAGGCATTAAAGTATTAAACGACACATAGCAAGAACAGTTCCGCCCGTGCGAGCGAACTGGACTGCTTAGAGATATTATGCAACGGTTGACAATGCTAGCCATGAGAGCCTATGTGAAATATTATATTAAACTAATGGAGGCCAATAATTTGTTTACTACGGAGTACTTTACTTTTTCTTCGTGAAGAATAATTGACTCAGTAGTCATTACTTCAAATATAATAATATACGTAGAATATACTACTCCCTCTGTCGAAAAACAGAGTGTCATTTTCCAGGCTTATTATTGTCCCAAGTGGAGTGCTCATTTCAATAAAAGAAGCTAATTTTCATTGAAACTAATGTAAATTTTCTAGAAGTGTTTCAAATAGGTAAAATGTTTTACATTTAGTGAAATAAAAGTAAATGTGCAAATGTAGGACTGGTAACTTGCAAAAAATTATTTACCTTACCAAAATTGAAATGTGTCTGGGGGCTGTACAACTTAACTATGCAGAACACTTTTCATTTGTTATTGTATATATGTTGTATTGTTACACATAACTTTGGCCGATGAAGTTTCAAATTTGAGGTTAACTGGAACCTCTGCAAATTGTAAGGCTTTATGAAGGATTGAAGGATATCTTAGATCAATTGAGAATCCATAATTCCTGATATTGTAATTGAGAGTCTAAGCATGAAACAGGCATATATCTATGTTAATAATGATAAAAAGAACAAAACAAAGGTAAGAGAATTGTCATTTACAACAAGTAATGAACATTAAAGTTAAGGATTTGACCTGCAGGCGCTTTTCCTTCTTCCTTTCGTTCCTCTTGGCTGCTTTCGACATGGCTTTTGGAGCATCCATCACAGGGTCATACCCAGGTGGCGTTTCCCTCAAAGCCGCCATTTCTTTTTTCCACTGCCATCACCAATACAACAATAATGAACCCTCCTCCCTCCCAAATTTGAAAGAAAGAAAAACAACCGACTTCAGTGGTATCACTGTATATATCGATATTAATACATAAATACTCCATAATGAATACGTACGAGGGCGCCTTTGGATTGGTAAATAGCGACTTCCTCTTGGGGGCGATACCCAGCCCTAATACGAATGGGCTTGCGGAGAGTGCCGTCGGGCCTTCGGGTCGGGCCGATGATTCTCTCGCCTTCCTTTAGGGTTTCGGAGAGTTCAGCGGCTAACCGCTTGGCTTCTTCTTCCGCTCCTCTATTTGCCATTGAAGCCGATAGTTTTTCCCAAGCAGTCCGGCTTTACAACTACCGGTAAGTGATAACAACTCCTCATGCTGTTTCATTGTAGTTTGGCGGAGGTGAAAAGAATACTAAGTTTTGGATTTTTCTTTATGGTCAAAACAAACAGTTTCTATTAATATCATTACTAATCGGATAATTACAACAAATTCAAAAATACAAACACAACAACTATCACTAACCAACTAGCACCATCACCGAAAGAGCAACACGAATCGCTAACCACTAAATGGGTGTGACACAGCAATCACTTGTCATTAAGGCAAAGCACGGGTCGGGTTCGGGCGGGTCGGGTTCAAAAGTTGTAAACATGCTCGGTTATCGGATTGATAATTTCAAACTCTACCCTATCAAAAAAATTATCGGGTTTTTCGGGTTGAAGAAGTTTGGTTTTCGGGTCCATTCATATTTTAATTTATTATTATTGTTGAAATTGTGATAAATAAAAGGGAAATGGAAACTAATAATCCAACCTTTTAGCCGTCTTCTTACAATAGTCTCACATTTTCATTATTCATGAATAATCCAACCTTTGCACCCCATCTTCATTCACTGGTCCCTGACCGATTTATGATTTGTTATTCCAAGTTATTTTCTTATCTTTGTAAAACATTATATCATAATTCTCACCTTATGATCACATAATGTTTTGCAAAGATAAGAAAACAACGTGGAATAACGGGTCATAAATCAGTCAGGGACCGATGAATGAAGATGAGGTGCAAAGGTTGGATTATTCATGAATAATGAAAAGGTGGGACAATTGTAAGAAGATCGCTAAAAGGTTGGATTATTAGTTTCCATTTTCCCTTTATAAAATGGTAATTGGTAAAAAAAATCATCCAAAATGATACTAGTATAACATTCAAAGTAATAGTTGTATAAATACGGCAATCGACATATTTGAACATGCAAAATAATAATATACGGTGATTGGCATATTTGATTTTGCGATAAATAAAATGATAATTGATCAAAATATCGTTCAAAGTCATAACAATACAACATTCAAAGTTATAGTTGTACAAATACGGTAATTGGAATATTTGAACATGCATAATATGGTAATTGACATACAATGATTGAGAAGTTTGAACATGCATAATAATTCAAAGTAGTATATATATTACGCTAGTTCGGGTTTTTCGGACGGGTCGGGTAGCATTTTTAAATCCCTACCCGATATCTGTTACCCTTAAAGATCAAGGTTTGCAATTTCGGATCGGGTAATCGGGTTCGGGACATCCGACCCGCTAGGCGTACCTCGAGTATATCCGATCGGTTTTTCGGGTGGGATGGGTTTTGCTCTCCCCTACTTGCCATACACATCCTTCTAACGACATGATATCTAGCAGAATTGTCAATCATAATTGTACACATAGAACTAAAGACATCAACAAAAAACAGAGGAACATAAAATATAACGCGAAAATAAAACCATAAAAAATAAATAACTGATAAATCTTCCAAAACCTAGCACCTCGATCGCTCCAAGGCGGCGGTTCAAGAGGGGAGCGGACCGTCGATCTGTCTTCTCCCTTGCTCAGCCCTTCACCTCTCCCTGTCTTCTCGTCGCCCATTCCGCCTCCACTACCACCACTGCCCAGTATCCATGTTGATTCGCTAGAAACTAACCATTTTACTTCCTCCTCAATTGAAGGAATGAGAAAATATTGCTCTATATCATCCATAGCTATCATTTCTTGAACCTTAGATTCGTTTCCAAATGTTGCAACCACACTCACGCTTCCTTAAAAAACACTCCAAAAGCTAGAGAAGAAGAGCCGCACAAACAATTGGCGGAAGGAAGCCCTACACGACAACAAAGCCGCTAGGGAGACAAAACCCTACGCGACGCTAAGCCGCTAGGGAGAAAACTGACGGGCTGATCCTTTTTTTCACCTAGAGCTGGCGAGTGCCCAGCGGCGAAACGGCCGAAACCTAATTGCTTAACTATAAGTTTTGGATTTAGATATTCATTGACCGTATTTTTCTAAGTTGATTTTTTAAATCCAATAACTTTTAATTAGAATTAATGATAACAATGTTACAATACTCTCATACTTGTACTCTGGAGGAGATTCTCCATTCAAGTACAATCAGGCTCACAAACTATTCACTGATCTAAACACGAACTTAGCTAAAGCTTCAGTCGTACTTGCCGTGAAATGCCCCAATATTCCTCTTGTTTGACCAGCTACAAAGCTACGAATTGACCGTTATGTCAGCTAAATCGCTAACCTCATTTCACGCCGGTCTGCCCCTTCTCTCCATCGCTGTCTTTCCAATTTCATAAATCAGACCCTCTCAAACATCTGGAATAGTCGGAAGAATCCTTCTCCAAATTAAGGATGGATTACTTTCAACTTTCGCATGGAGAACACTATCATTTGCAAAATATCTCGCCATTAGGAGGAGTTTACCAAAACCAATACCCCACATGTTTTTTGATAGACATAAATCATCCCAATGTTTCCATCTTAAATGCGTGTCCCCTCCACCAATAAGCATTCATAATTCGCTCTATTTCATTGAAACTACTTATCGAAAGTAGAAACACATTCATGATCTACTGAGGCATAGCCTGTAAAACCGTTTTTAACATCACCTCTCATCCTGTTTTGGATAAAATCTATTTTTCCAGTTGTGTATTTGCTCCACTGACCTCTCCTTGATATACCCAAAAATCAGAGACGGTGGATGAAATGGAAGAGTGTATCAGGATTTCTATGCGACTGAGGTATGCCGACTAGACTGAAAGATCAATTTTATCGAACGACAATTGGACCTGCATTACTGTATGGCATAAAATGTTGGGCGGTGAAACAATGTCACATTCAAAGATGAGTATGGCAGAGATGCGTATGTTGCATTGGATGTGTGACATACCAGAAAAGATCGTTTGAGGAATGAGATAATCACACAACGGGTGTGAGTAGCACCTATAGAAGATAAGATGCATGAGTCTCATTTGCGGTGGTTTGGACATGTGTGTAAAAGACCAAACGATGCACCTATTAGATGACTTGAGAGGTGGGGAGAAGAGACAAAGAGGAGAGAGCGAGGAAGACACAAACAGACTTGGATTAGAGGAAGCAGAACTGAATGCGTCTTCTTGGGTTGGATGAGAGTATGACTTTGGAGAGAGCAAAGTGGAGGGCACACATTCGTGTTGATGATTGATCTCTTTTCTATCTTTCATCTCTCCTTTTCTTTTATCGTTTATCTTCCTTGTCTTCTTATGTTGTTATGTTATTTTTATCTTTTAGCTTTTTATGCTCTTTTATCTTTTTGTCTTCTAGCTTTTTTATGCTCTTTTATCTTTTTATCTTTTACCGTTTATCCTCTTATCTTCTCGTGTTCTTATGTTATTGTTATCTTCTAGCTTTTTATACTCTTTTATCTCCTCCTCCTCTTTCTTGTCTTCTCTTTTTGACATCGATATCATGGATCGATTCATGTTAGCCGACCCCAAAATCTTTAGGGACTAAGGCTTGGATGTTGTTGTTGTTGTATTCTTGCCCACCACTGACGATACGCCTAGATACTTGCCCCCAACTTTGTCCTTCGTGACCCCAAGTGGCCTACTCAAATAATCCCCTCAAAGCACGGACGACGGGATATATCCATCAATTGACATTTGATACGGGTCTAATGACTCATTCTCAATTTCTTTCAGAGGTGCCGAGGTCCCAATAATAAGGATCTCGAAGTACCTCAAAGAAGCGAGATATTTCGGGTGTAAACCGTTTGATGGAACGGGAGACATCGTTGTGGCAGCCGAATGGATAAAAAGATTCAATAAAGCGGTCATTGATATGCAGCTACCGCCAAACATGAAGATGAGGGTAGCAACGAGGTTACTAGAGGGAATGGCGTCCACGTGATGGGACGGGGTCAAGGGGAAGTATGGTGAGATGGTCACATGGGAGAATTTCTGACAGGAATTCCTTAACCAATACTACTCCAACTTCGAGGTGAACTTGAAAAGGAGGGAATACACCAACTTGACCCAAGGAGGCAAGTATACAGTAAGGGAACTCGAGCACAAGTTCAGGGAGCTTGCCGAGTTCATACCGAAGTATGCTTGTGATGAGAACCGGATGGTGGACCATTTTTTGGATGCCTTAGACTTGGACGTGCGTGAGAGGGCAACACAATTGTCTAACATGATGTTCAATCATGTGGTCGAACAGGGCCTGAAAGGAGAAAAGGAATGGGAGGAAAGGAAGATGAAAAATCGCGAGGAGACGAAGAAGAGAAAATGGGAAAACAATGGCTCCCAAGGTTCTAGCAAAAGGGGAACCACGGGGGAGGTGGGTCTTTTAGAACCCCTGCACCACCATCCAAGGGAAATCAAGGCCCATGAGGGCAAGGCTCGAGGTCGCAAGGCTCGGGCGTAATGAGGTGTAACAATTGCAAGAGGAACCACACAGGCAAATGTCGTGATCCCCAAAGATGCTACCAGTGCGGGGAGGCGGGACATTTGAGATCAAATTGCCCACAACTGAGGCAAGCTATGGGTGCAGGGCCAAGTAGCGGTAATACGGCAAGTAGAAACCGAACGGGAGCACCTCATGAGAGCATGGGGCAGGACAGACCAAGTACGAGCAGCGCACCCTCCATGAACAAAGGCAAGGCCCAAGCTAGAGTTTATTATTATTATTATTGTTGTTGTTGTTATTGTTATTATTATTGTTATTATTATTATTGTTATTATTACTATTACTATTACTATTACTATTACTATTACTATTACTATTACTATTACTATTACTATTACTATTACTATTACTCTTACTCTTTGACTTTTACTTTTACTTTTACTTTTACTTTTACTATTACTATTACTATTACTATTACTATTACTATTACTATTACTATTACTATTACTATTACTATTACTATTACTATTACTATTACTATTACTATTATTATTACTATTATTATTACTATTATTAAAATTACTATTATTATTGGTATTATTATTATTATTATTATTATTATTATTATTGTTGTTGTTGTTATTATTGTTGTTATTATTATTGTTATTACTATTGTTGTTACTATTATTGTTATTATTATTGTTATTATTATTGTTATTATTATTGTTATTATTGTTATTATTATTATTATTATTATTATTATTATTATTATTATTGCTCTGCCGCCGAAACAAGGTTTACACGTGAGAGAGCGCTCCTCCGCAGTTGATAGCCTCTTGCTGCCGATCGCTCATCCAAGGTCTCAACATGTACACTGCATTGCAGAAGATTCACAAGGATAAGGATGTTGAGCCATCCGAATTTGAGGAGTCTGTTGCCCATGCATTGTTTGATTTGGAGAACACTAACCAAGATCTAAAGAGTGATTTGAAGGACCTATTCATAAACTCTGCTGTTCAGATTGATGTATCTGGAAACCGCAAAGGTGTTGTGATCCATGTCCCATATAGGCTAAGGAAAGCCTACCGGAAGATACATCTAAGGCTTGTCAGGGAGCTCGAGAAGAAGTTCAGTGGCAAGGATGTTGTGGTAGTTGCCACACGAAGTGTGACACCGCCCCCAAGTATTTGTACTTCATCAAATTATGTATTGAACCCAGAGAAATGTATAAAAGCGTTTTTACGTGATTGTAAATTTTTATCATTTCTATTACGTGAATAGTAAAATTCACGTGGGGCCCACACCGGATGTGGGGCCGCCCGATATTGTCGGGACCACATACTATATTAATCTTGGACTAAATAATATGTATATGGTGGTGGATATCCTAATTGGGCCATAGCAATGGCACAGGGTTGACCGGTTGGTCAAACAGGGCCAAATTATCGGTATTAGCAAATTTATCAGATAACAGCCCAAAAAGGGATTTCGGAGACTTCTAAATTAAAGTTGGGGAATGCATATTGATTCTAGGGTCCAATAAGGATTGGGAACAAGTGTTATATTTTATTTGACCCGATAAAATAAAATATACTTAAAACAGTCCGGAAAATACAACTTTCGGGACCGATTGTACACTTCTGGACAAAAAGGGTTGACCTCCCACATGGGTGGGGGCCAACCCACGAATTTAGCCACATTATTCAAGGCTTGAGTCGGCTGGTAGGTGAGGTGAGGTGGGAGAGGACTGAGTTGAGATGTTTGGCATCAAAACAAATCATGGTGGCCCTCCTCTCTTTCACTCATTGCCCAAATAGAGACAAAGGGGCATTCCTACCCATCCCCCTCCTCAATAGTTCGGACAGCATCAAGGGAAAGGAGGAAAGAATCTCTACAACTTCATCTTTCATAGCAAAACTCGAGCAGAGCTCAAACAAGAAAGTTGGGAGGAAGTTAAAGAAGGAAAAAGCTAGGAAAAAGTGTGAAAATTAAGGTAATGACCTTATCATAACTTTTCCTTTGTTTTTCTTCTAGCATATAAGATATATATCATATGAAAGACCTTTAGTATTTTTCTACATGATTTAAGTGTGGAATAATGGGTTGGAAAGTGATTCTAAGTCAAAAAACGGACTTAGAAGCCAAAACGGCCGGTTCGCCGGAAAATAACCTTTTAGAGGTTATTTGTATTACTATGGGTTTTATGATGATAAAACCTTGTTAGTAACTTGTCTAAGGTATTCAAGGAACTTTCACGGAGTTGAAAAGGTCGCCGGAGTTGTCTCCGGAGTTCGTTGAAGTTCACCGGAGTTTCGTCGGAGCTAAATCGGGAAGGCTAGAACTTCATAAGCTTCATTAAGGTGAGAAGACGGCTTTATGCTTTATAACTTTTGCGTGAGGCATGAGATTACCTAAAGTAATCAAGGACATGTTTTGTGGAATGATTAAAGATAATCAAGTATTTGCTTATGCCATGATTTTGCATAAAACATAGTTGAAAAGCATGTTATGTAGGTTTGGTGATTAAAAATGTGATAACATATTTTGTGTGATAATCCAGGGACCCAAAATGGTATTTTTGGATCAAGGACACCAAGAAGTATATGTGTATAAAATTTCAAGTTAATCGGACTCCGTTTGGGTGGTCAAAAGAGGCGTTGACCGTCAAGTCAACTGCCATACCCGACCGGGTATTGACACATACCCGACCGGGTATTTGCTGAAGAATTGCCCAGGGGGCTACTGCCTCCTATACCCGATCGAGTATGGGTAGATACTCGATCGAGTATACATTGAAAATTAGCTTTGGGGGCTACCGCCTCCTGTACTCGACCGAGTATGGGAAGATACTCGATCGAGTATTGGTTTATGCTCAAAACGGGCAGTTTTGAGCGGGTTAATGTGGGCCGTTCAGGTGGGACCCGCCCACGTTGGTTCCTAAGGATGGTTATATGACTATAGGGCTAGGTATTGTCCATAGTTGAAGGAACGAAAGGTTAGCCATATCCAGGTTAGGGTTTGGTAAGGATTTAGTTTGGGGTTGAGTATCCCCGGGACATTAGATGATCCTGAAACTTGGTTGGGGTTGAGCATCCCCAGGACTATAAATGATCCTGAAACTCGGTTGGGGTTGAGCATCCCTGGGACATTAAATGATCCTGAAACTCGGTTGGGGTTGAGCATCCCCGGGACTACAAATGATCCTGAAACTCGGTTGGGGTTGAGTATCCCCGGGACATTTAATGATCCTGAAACTCGGTTGGGGTTGAGTATCCCCGGGATGCTAAATGCTCCCAAAACTCGGTAGGATATTATGAATGTAGAATGTAGCTGGTGAGCTAGGCATTCGGGAAAAGGGTGAGAAAGGTCAGGTAAGAACTTTATCTCTAAAAGACTCGTTGAATGAAATGACCTACGGGTCGAGTATTTTACATATATATATACACACTATGTATCATCGGATGAATGAGTCACATATATATATGTATCACCCTATTTTTGGGTCTCGTGTCTGAAACATTAGTTATTCTTCATATAGCCTGCTTGTCACTAGTACTTCTATGGAGTACTGACCCCTCCGGGGGGCCTCACATTTTTCAGGTTGAGGCTAGAGTCCTACTACCTGCACCTTTGCCTAGGGTGATTGATCGAGAAGGAAGACGTGGTTCATGCTTCCATTCTTATTTCAAATGTATAAACTGCTCATGGATTTTTGAACAATATTTTCATTAAAACAGTTGGGGGCCTGCGTGCCCGTGTTTGCCACGTGTGGCTAAGTATCAAACATTTTATTATTTCCGCATTGGTTTGATTATGATATTGATGTTGATTGTATGTGTTTACTAATCGGTTTGGCAATAGAATCAATCGGACGCCTTGTACAACTCAATAGGGATGAACTGTTGTTGTTCTTATCGGGTTGTACGGCGGTTGTCTACGTGGCTCGGATGCGGTCCGGGGCGTGACAATTAAGTGGTATCAGAGCCATCGATTTCTAAACTATATAATTAACCTCTTAATATGGTTATCCTCAAAAAGTTTTGAATAAAACCATGAGCAACAGTTTTTGTACGTAAGGAACCGTTGGAAACCAATTTATTGACCTCTTATTGTTAAGACGGTACCCTTAACAGTTTGTTGGCCATATGTTGGACCAAGGGGTGTCTTTTGTACTAATCCGTCAATTGACATTGAAACGAGTCTAACGGCTCATTCCTTGTTTCTTTCAGAAATGGAGGGTGGATGCAGGATTACTAGGAGGAACCCGATGGGTTATGCACCGGGGGCCACCGAGCACGATACACGGGCTGAATCACGGACCTCTAGGGGTAGAGGCCGGGGCCAAGGCCGAGGAGGAGGCCGAGGCAGGGGTCGTGGACGTTCTACAACGCCGACGGCAAGTAGCACACGCGTCGGTTCCGTGCACCCGTCATGGGCCACCGAACCGGACGACTTCACCTATGCTCCAAGCACGGAGCAAGAGGAGACCCCGTACAACGGGGAGGACTTTGAGGAAGAAGATGAGGATGATGATCCTCATTATGACCGTATGAGTGAGGTACTAGAATGGTACCTCGAGAATAAGGCAAAGAGAGAACAGCGGCGCCAAGCTAGACAGGCTAGGCAGGCCATGGGACAAGGAAGTCGGAGAGCTTCTAGTGCTCCATCTGGAGCATTTGGGGGAGACACGATGGTGCGTATCTCCAAGTACCTCAAGGAGGCCAGGGCCTTGGGGTGCAAATCATTTGATGGCAAGGGCGACATATCTGAGGCCGCCAATTGGATTAAGAAGCTGAATGATGCTTCTAGGGATATGCAGATTGGACTCGACGTGAAGTTGAGGGTTGCCACAAGGCTACTAGAAGGGGTAGCTGCTGTATGGTGGGAAGGCGTGTAAGGAAAGTTCCACGGTGAGGCCACATGGGAGAAATTCGAAGTGGAGTTTTATAATCAGTACTACTCAACTTTTGAAGTCAATCTCAAAAGGAGAGAGTACACAAACCTGAAACAGGAGGATGGTTGCTCGGTGAGGCAATTGGAACAGAGGTTCCGTGACTTGGCACGATTCATCCCGGAATACTCTTTGGATGAAAATCGTATGGCCAATCACTTTTGGGATGCTCTACAGTTGGACATCCGTGACCGGGCTACGTACCATCACAACATGACATTTAGCCAGATTGTCGATCAGGGGCTCCTTGGGGAAGCCCAATGGAACGAGAGGAGGTTGAGGGACGTCGAGGAGGCGAAGAAGAGAGGATGGGGAAACTCGGGACCCCAAGACCACTCCCGGAAGCATCACGCTGGGGGTGGCAATTCATTCAGGGCGCTGGCACCACCGGCGAAAAGGAATAAAGGCTCAGGAGGGCAAGGGGCCAAACCAGGGAGTACGTGGCCACCAAGGTGCGCGAACTGCGGTAAGAACCACGGGGGAAGGTGCAATGAACCACCCCGGTGCTTCAAATGCGGTAGCACAAGTCACCTCAAACCCTCTTGTCCAATGCTAAACGGAGGAGGACCATCGGGAGCTATGGGAGGACCTACGACTAGTAGGGGACGTGCGGGGCCGTCTCAGGCCGGCACGGGAAGGGACGGACCCACGGCTAGCAACGCCGCGTCCGTTAACCAAGGGAGGACCCAAGAACGGGTGTATGCAATGACCGAGGCTGATGCTCGGGCCAACCCGGACTCCATTGCAGGTAACCTCTTGATTTCACATGTATTTGATTATGTAATTGGGTGGAAAAAATCTCCAAAAATATGAAGGACCCGATCGGGTACCCCTATAGACCCGACCAGGTATAAGTCACGCTTCGAGTTTGAAGTGTGCACCCGTTCGGGCAGCCAAGGCAGGATGCTTCATTTTTGACATTTCGAGCAATACCCGATCGGGTATGGCTATATACTCGATCGGGTATGTGCAAAACTTGAGCTTCGAAGTGTGTATCCGATCGAGCGTTGAGGACAGGGAGCTTTTACTTGAGATTTTCAAGTGATACCCGACCGGGTATGGGTATATACCCGACCGGGTATTGACATTTTGTTCGAATTCGAGGCTGGTACTCGACCGAGCAAGGAAAACAGGGGGTTTCTCCTTAAGAACTCGAGTGATACCCGACCGGGTATAGGACCTTACCCGACCGGGTATAGGGTAATTCTAGGCTGAA